TTTTTTTTTTTTTTTGTGGGGGGGGGGGGGAGGATTGTGTTTTTATGTACTCGCCATTCATTTGTTCCTCTTTCCAACTATTTGCTTTATTTTTGTACAGCCGGTGGTTGATGCTTTTGATCCCAGGTTTTTGGTGTCTCCCGCAATATCCCACTTGATGAACTTCACTTCTATAAAGGTATTAACTCTTTTTACTACATTTAATGCTTGCTAACCACTATACTTTTTTCTCTTTCTGCTTGCAAAGTGCAACTTTTGTTTACATGAGACAATGATTTATTCCATTAAAGGCCACTAATCTCAGGTGATCTTTCAGATAAATATCTTTCTCTGTTGCCAGAATTTCGATTCTTTGCCAGGATGTTTTACTGTTTTGTGCACACTATTGACTATAATGGTTTAGGCTTTGTGGGTAGTCGTAGCCTGCCTTTTACTCTATGGGGAAGTGATTAAAGAAGTTGTTCTTCCTCTGAAAGTATAGTATGTTCTTGTTTGTTTTTATGGAACTTTTATTTGTAGCCATAGGTTATCCTTGTTTGGTTGGACATTTTTTTCATATGATAGAAAGCCATTTATGTTGAATTATTGTTGATAAACACAGGCTGAAAATAAATGAACACAATAATAAAAATGATATGATAGTTCGTGGTTTACTGGAAAATTGGATTTTTGATAGAGCACAATGGAGAAACAGGATTCACGTATCCACTCTAAATAGTTTGGATAAAGGCTTATATGAGTTAAGTTGATGAAGAGGAATTCTATGAAATTGACCTTCCTTTGATATTTATAGCCCCTGGGCACTAGAAGTTATAGCAATTTGATAATTTTGGCAGGAAGAAGACTTGTATGAAATTGACATTCCTCTGAAATTTATAGCTTCTGTGGGGACTAGAATTCATGGGTTGGCTTGCTGGTTTGATGTACTGTTTAATGGAAGGTAATATTTTCATGCTGATGCTTTGTGTTTGTTATGGTCTTGCATTGTTCATACTTCTCGGAATTCTTATTAGCATTCTGTGTTCTCACTAATCTCATTTCTTTCGTCGTCAGTACTGTACCAAGGTGGCTGACCACTGCTCCTGGTGCACCTACAACCCACTGGTACCAATTACGTTGTGTTCTGTCTCAGCCACTTTATGTTATGCCGGGGCAAGAAATAACTGGACAACTTCGCATGGTTGCACACAATGCTCAGAGTTATACTATTTATCTAACACTGTCAGGTTGGTCTTTCTCATTTTTCTTGCTGATATGTTTCCTTAAGAGTCGAACATATTGTGAATCCCCTTGAACAGTTAAAATGTGGGGCCCTGGTGCCGAACAAGGAGGGATACTCCAAACTTCATCTGGCAAACTTGATCTCAAAGAGCCCTATTATCGAATGTCTCAACCACAAGCCTATTCGGCCCAAGATCAGCAGCCAAATCAGCTATTACAGACACAGGTATGGACTAATCCTGCAAGCATGTTATAAAAGTATAATGATTCACACATTTTTTTCAGTTATAAGATGGCAATCACAAGTGGTATTTTCATTTTAGCCTCTGCTCAAATATGCCTCTTTTTTAATGGAAAGATGACATCTTAGGCGTGATTTTCATGTGGCTGTAATCTTCTNATAAGATGGCAATCACAAGTGGTATTTTCATTTTAGCCTCTGCTCAAATATGCCTTTTTTTTAATGGAAAGATGACATCTTAGGCGTGATTTTCATGTGGCTGTAATCTTCTTGTGGTTATATCTTCCATAGGGATGTAGTTGGGGATCTGTAAGAGTCAATTGGCGGAAGTTGTTTCATCAACCTCTTTCCAACTTTAAAATTAGAAATGTTGGGAAGTTGCATTTTCAGATTACATTGAAGAAATGGAAAGGGGGAATTCTTCTGATCTTTGTGAAAGCATAATGTTATCAGGATAATAGTTTCTGAATCACTTCATATCAGTCTTGGCTTTTTTTAAATTTTTTTTTTTTTTTTTTGTGCTTTCTAGACACACCTTAGCTTTCCTTTCTCTCAGTGGTAATGTTGCACCCAAATTTTGCTAGTAACATTTGTGCAAAAGTTTTTATTTACCTCTCCCTTCCCACTCACCCAATAAAAAGTGAAAAATCAGTTGGGCATTACTTGTATTAGTATNAACATTTGTGCAAAAGTTTTTATTTACCTCTCCCTTCCCACTCACCCAATAAAAAGTGAAAAATCAGTTGGGCATTGCTTGTATTAGTATCTTCTCAGATGTTCAACAGAAAGATTCTGAAGATTAAATGCCCCATAGGTTGCTTCTTGTGTGGCATGATATATTTAAATAAAAATCATGCATATTGGCCGGCAATTTTTCTCACCTGCTAGTCGAGGTTAGAGGGATCTGAATCAGACCTATATACTATCCACACCTGAAATGTTTGCAGATACCATATAGTAGAACTGATATCATGTGTACATTAACCACCATGGACTAACTTTTGTCGATGGTTCACCAAGCCATTTTTCTTTTGCTGAAAGGTTGGAAAATTAGATGTCTTTCACTGGATGGTGTTGGACCAAGGAACAATGTCTATGGTTGATGTGTTATATCTATTTGTCAATCCTTATATTTCATTGCAAACATTACTGGGTTTACAAATTTGGTTTCTGGTGGTCCATATCCATGTAACTAGCTCTCACTCAGTACAATTATCGTAAAGATTATACTTAATTGTGCAGCCTTTTGGGCTTTCTATTAAGATGGACGTTCAAAAGGGCTAGGAGAGGAAGTTATTTAGGTTTTTGTGCGGTGTTTTTCTTTGTTTTTGTTCTTTTGGGCTTTATCTGCTTTGTTCCAATAATTATCTTGTTATTCAGAGGCATTACCTGGTTTACCTCGTGACAGGATATCCCGATACAATCCCAGGATGAAGAGGTATCTGATCTGCTGCAACAACAATCGCAGAATTCAGGTGCTGAGGTTTGATGAGTCTATAAGTTATATATTTGACTTCCGGAGATACACTAGGTAGTATGCCTTGATCTCCCATGTTTGTAACATTAAAATGCTTGGCTAGGCTAAAGCACTAGATTTTTCAGTGCTCAGTCCTCAAGCAGCCCTTTGCCTCCAGTGCTACTGATTTGCCTGTAAAGTATATCAGTATGATTGAACGGTTTATTGTTTGAATGGTCGCCTCGCTCGATCGTGTAAAATGTCTCCCAAATTTAACCTAATAATTAACTAATCAATTTTTATTCAAAATCTGGGTTTTTTTTTTTTAGCGATTGGGATTTTTGGTAGAATGCCCCCTCGTTTTCAAAGTAATTGTGTACTCAAATTCAAATCAGTTGTGAAATTAGGTTGTTTGATAAAATTGAAAATTCATTGGTGAAAACTGAAAGTTGAATTTTTTAATATAAACTTGTTTGGTACATATTGAAGTTTAAGCACCGAATTGATTCAAAATTGTTTGATCAGTTCAAGGAATTGAAGTTGAAAACTACTATTTTTTCATGTTATCTTTTTTCTCTACCCTTTCAGTGTTACTTTTCCACCATCACCTTTCTCTTCCCCTCATGATAGGGTGTGTTGGTGGTCACATTGAGTTGTGGTGGTGGAGGCAATGAAGTGGTATGACGGTGATTTGGTGGTAGTGGGAGATGATGGTTGTAAGGAGGTGATGGTTGTGGTAGAGATAGAGGTAGTGATGATGGCGGCAGGTTGGGTGCAGGGTGTGGTGAGGATGGGTGAAGGAGGTGGTTGTGATGGTGTAAGTAGGTTGGTGCCGACAATGGTCTCGATAAGTAGTCTCAAAATTACACTCCTATTCGAACCTTGGGAATTGTGAGGAAAATCATTGCTGTTATCTGAGTTTTATGATGTACTGGCCAACTGAAGTATGAATTCTCTGCTTCCCCTGTACTTATATGGGAACTGGAAATCAATTACCTCCTCTAACTCTATCGATGACCCATATCATCTGGGTGACCAATTGCATTCACTCTGGGGATAAATAACTTTACTTTCACCCTGCTTCCAATTCTTCACTCTATGATGCTCAATGAGTAAGGCTGAAAATCGAATCAAGCTTATCGAGCTCGTTTAGAAAAACAAGCTTAAAAAATTGTTCAATAGTTTGCCAATTTTACATTTCAAAAAACCGAACTTTTGCGAACTCAAGGCGAGCTTTTAGGCTCGTTTTTCAAACGAGTTTAAAAAATTGTACGAGCCAAGTTCGAGTCGAGTTCTAATCGAGCTATAACCCGGCTCAATTATTTGTCCTATCAATCGGTTCATCATTAACAAGCCCTAAATATTAGGGATGCAGATCCAAAGATCATACTAGTTCAATAGAGCATCTACAAGAAAAAGCTTAACAGAAAAAAAAAAAAAAAAACCATAAAAAGAAGCAAGCTCATCCAACTTAGTGTAGTATTTGAATCAAACTCATTCAACCCGGCAAATTCAAAGGTCCATACATGGGTTATGAAGACTCCAGACTCCATTAAAAGCTGTATTAGGAGAGTTCTGTAGATATTGCAGTCAAGATTGTATGAAATACAACTATCTACTGCAGCACAACACGCATATATAGTAAGGTTTTAGCCAACAAAAATTTGCTCCAAAGATGAGTGAGCCGGTTTAACATTGTACTTGATGGCAAGGATCAAATGCAAGTTTCAGTTGGTCATTGTGAATTTTTCCATCCAGCACCACAAACTCGTTACAGAAGTGCCAAGTGAACATTTGAACCAAAACTCATGGAATAAGCATGTCAAGTTTGTTTCTAATATTTATATACGTTACGAATCATGAGATAAACTAGAAAAGAACAAGAAAGCATCACCATTTATGGAGGGAAAACTGACAGTCAGCAAGAATGTGCAGATGGTGGCTAGCCTATGCTGAACATTTACTCCTCAAAACAAGATAATTGCTGGCATAACTTGAAACATCACCTTGAATGTCTATTATTTTTGGCTCTATTGTGGAAAGATGCTCTGGAAGATGGTTTTGGCAATTGGAAGAAGACCCACCAAAGCAATTTGGAGTTGATCTGAGCTACCAGTCCTAATAGAGATCTGTCCACTTAGTTTGTTGTTCAATCCAGCACGAAAAGCAATTTTAGAACTCCTTCCTATTGACAACTGAGACTGCATATTGCACCCCCATATAAGGTCACCTCTCCACCTCATCAGAGATAGCCCCAGTGTGGTTTGGTCTTGCCCAATAGGAAAATCCTTCTCCCGGAGACGTACTTCCAAGTTGGCTCCATATGCTGCATCACCTTGAGATTGAATGGCTCCAGTACTTCCCACAAGAACCAATTGTTTTCCCACTGCAATCTGGTCCTCGAGTTTGAGTCCACTGACCACATTTTCGCCTAAGAAAGTGACAGATACCCCAGCAGCTGTTTTATTAATTTTGAAATTCTTTATTTTGGTTTCACCCTTGAGAATGTAAGCAAGCTGCTTTCCAATGGTTTGGATATCGAGTCCTGCAATGGTCGATCCACACTCTCCATGCTTGGCTGAAACAGAGGAATCCAAGTGAATATTGAAGTCTTTTTTATCCTTTGTGATTTGAACAGCTATTACCGCTGGAAATCGGTTAGCGATAGCAAGATTTTCTTCCAGGCTCACACCATCATATCCACAATCATGGTCCCAGCCATGTGCATCCAAAACTGGCCTGGCAAGAAACTGTGAGGTGGCTTCCAGAAACCGGTATCTGTAAGCAGGATTGTCTCCGTCAAATGACTGTGGGAGTGTCATGTCAGGTAAGGGAACTTCTACAGCTGCTGGACTCCCATTTTCCTGGTCTCCATCTTCCTCCATGTAACCATCATAGTTCCCACCATTGTTGCCTTTCTTCATATCCCTAAACCTTTTCACCTCGTCCCTCCACTGTTTCTTCCGATGCAGCTTAATGCGGTAATCATACTCTTCAAAATAAGCCCTCTTTTGCTCCTTGGTGAGTTTAGCAATCTGAGATTTCCTTAATGGCTTGAATGGTGGGAGTTGATCATACTCATCTTCATCTTCTTGCTCAAAATCAGACAACTGTTCCAACTCAAGGTCAGAGTCTACAGTCTCACCACCTTGAAGAGTGGGTAGTTTCGGATGAGCATAAGACTGCAATAGAGAAGACAAGAAGTAGGGAAGAGGAGGTGAGTGAACCCGGAATCCAAAGAGCTTCTTATGATCAAAAAGATCCTGAGGTTTTATCAGTGAATTTGCTTCAGATAAGATCTTCATTGAGTAGCACAGGAGCAGTAGTTGGGTCCTCCAACTTTCTCCATTGGGGAGCACTAGTTCTCCATTTCCATTTATTTCACACGACGGGTGATTTTCAACCAGAGAAACTGGATTCATCAGACCTGAATTCATCTGCAGATCACCAACTGCATGGCTAATCAACTGTTGAACAACACGTGATCGTTGAGCCACAAACAACTCATAGCTTAAGGGGGTACCAGATGGTCCATCCGGGGGACTAGAAGCTGCATGTGTCAGAGTAACAATGGCATTACGCCATATAGAAGAACCAAGAGAACTAGTTACTGACTTTAATAATGGCAAATCATTAAGGTCTCTGCTTTGTGAGTCTACCCGATCAACATAAAGGACAACATCTGGAGGGCAATTTTTTGTGAGTTTCTTTATAGATGACAAAATTTTCCAGTTAAGAGATTGGTCAGTAAGAGAAGATCTTAGACCAGGCGTGTCCAAGACCCTAACTTTGACTCCATCTATTGTTCCAACAATCTCCTTCACTGCAACTGTGGCTGGTTCAAATGCATTAATCATTGCTTTCTCTTCACCAAAAATGGAATTTATGGTTGCACTCTTACCAACCCCAGATTTCCCAATAACCAAGATGTTCAAGGAAAAGTTTAAATCATTCTTTTTTTCTGCTTCAAGCTCCATGGCTGCCCTTTTGGCAGATTCTAGGCTGAATGCTTGACTGGAAGGCCTCCCTGCAGCAAGGACAAGCCGGTATAAAACCTGTGCAGCTACCGAATCTGCAGGAGACCTGCCTAATCTCCGGACAAGCCTCAGAAACTTCACTCTTATCTGTTGTATCCTCTCAAGCTGCTGCTTTTCTTCTTCATTTAGTGTTTCCTCAGATTCACCCCTACTTGTAAACTCTAAAGGGTTAAAATGATTTATATGGTCCGGTTTGGGAGTAGGTCGTAGAGAGCGGAATGTGGAGCTTGATCCAGCAGGACGCTCGAGAGAAACAAATCTGGGACGATCAGCAGATGTGAAAGTAACGCCACCGCCATCTGATCCAGCACCTGCTGCAGCTTTCAAAAGAGCAGCTAAAGCTGCTGAATCAAAAATCTCCTTTCCTTCAATTTCTTCATCTGTGTCCACCTCCCCATCGGAGTCTGGCACAATCTGTCCATCAATCCTCTGTGAATGATCTGGAGAACTCTCTTCACCTGAAAAAGAATTGAGGCCTAATTGTTGCCTCAATTCACCTGTCATTTGCTTCGATGTTTCTGAAACTCCAAAGACCAAATCTTCAGTTTCATCATCTGAGACTGAACCTTCTTCATCCTCTTCTAGTTTTTCTGGATTGTAGCCTGATTCATCTGTGGTTTTCACTATCAAATCAGGGTCCAAACAAGAACCAGGTGATATGGGTTCAAGGATTTCGCAGTTACCAAGCAGCCCATCTTCCATTACACCACCATCAGTAGCTTCTGGTAAATGACAATTCCCTATATATTTTCTCTCTTGAAAAGGGTCTGGTTCTGGAAATTTGGTAGATGCTGTATTTGGTATTTCTACAGGCAGTTTTGATTCGCCAGACTCAGGAAGAAGGCTCCTTTCCAATATTTGGGTAACAGCATCATCAGCTCCAAGCAAATTCAACTTCGCAGATTCTTCAGCTACATTACTTGTGATATCAGAACCATCTGTACTTTTCCCAAGAACTTCTACCTCTCTGATGGATGAAACCTTCATATCAACTCC